AGATAGATAGATAGACAGACAGACAGACAAACAGATAGATAGATAGATAGACAGACAGACAGACAGGTAGACAGATAGATAGATAGATAGATAGATAGATAGATAGATAGATAGATAGATAGATAGATAGACAGACAGACAGACAGACAGACAGACAGACAGACAGACAGACAGACAGACAGACAGACAGACAGATAGATAGATAGATAGATAGATAGATAGATAGATAGATAGATAGATAGATAGATAGATAGATAGATAGATAGATAGATAGATAGATAGATAGATAGATAGATAGATAGATAGATAGATAGATACATTTTGTTAGGCCCACATAATTAAGGTTTGTGGGCGAGTTGAGAGAGTTAATCATCTACAGTCTCATACTAATTAAAGAATAATCTCCAAGAAGTTAATTTAAATGAAATGTAAGTATGTTCTGCATTACCAGAGCGAATGAAGATCCCTCGTCAGACGCTGCAAAAGTGTGTCAGCGAACGCTGGATTTATTACACTTCTGGATCGGACAGAGTTTGGACTTCAGCTCCGGCTCGGATCTTCTGCACACACTGAACACTTTCCTGAACTCGGAGGTGTGTGTGTGTGTGTGTGTGTGTGTGTGTGTGTGTGTGTGTGTGTGTGTGTGTGTGTGTGTGTGTGTGTGTGTGTGTGTGTGTCTGTGTGTGTGTGTGTGTGTGTGTGTGTGTGTGTGTGTGTGTGTGTGTGTGTGTGTGTGTGTGTGTGTGTGTCTCACAATGTCTGAGAATGTGTGTGTGTGTGTGTGTGTGTGTGTGTACACACTACCAGTCGAACATTTTAGCTTGGTAAGATTGCATTTATTTGATTAAAAAAACAAAAATAAATCCATAATCTTGTTAAATATTATGACAATTTATTGATATTTTAAAATATCATTTATTCCTGTGATCAAAGCTGAATTTTCACCATCATTACTCCAGTCTTCAGTGTCTTTCTATTTCACATAAAAGCTGTTCTTTTGAACTTTCTATTCATCAAAGAATCCTAGAATAAAAATGTAAATAACTGTTTTCAACACTGATAATAATCATAAATGTTTGTTGATCATCTGATCCTCATATTAGAGTGGTTTGTGAAGGATCATGTGACACTGAAGACTGGAGTAATGATGATAAATTCAGCTTTGATCACAGGAATAAATTACACATTGCTATATATTCACATAGAAAACAGATGATTTAAATTATAATAATATTTCACAATATTGCTGTTTTTTGTTGTATTTTTAATCAAATAAATGACGCTGTGTGTTCAGGTGGCACCGGGTGACCGTCGCAGAGAGAGTTTGCTGGTGATGCTTCAGGCTATGCCCAGAAAGAGGCGTGTCTGTGGCCTGTCATGTGACCCGTCATGTGATGACGACGCCTCCATCAGTGGTTCAGAAGACCAGCAGTCCGTTCACTCCTCATGCAGGAGATCATCCTTCCAAGATGTGACTCGCAAGGTCTGTGAACATCAGTCAAGATGCTCATGCATTAAAGGCAAGACACTACAGGTGAATAAAACATAACGTTCACACTTTATTTGATCGGGTCCTTGTTACACGTTACATGTAAATAAAAATAGTAAATTATAAATTTTGCTATGTATTCACATAGAAAACAGCTGTTTTACATTGTAATAATATTCGACAATTTTACTTTTACTTTTGATTTTAATGTATTTTTTTAAATCAAATAAATGCAGCCTTGGTGAGCAGAAAAGGCTTTTATTCAGTAAAAAATGGGCATGAGCTCGGTCAGGATTTCCGGCTTGCAAGATAATATGTACATTTTAGGTGCTAATATGTACATTTTAGGTGCTAATATGTACATTTTATGTGCTAATATGTACAATTTAGGTCCTAATATGTACATTTTAGGTGCTAATATGTCCATTTTAGGTGCTAATATGTACATTTTATGTGCTAATATGTACAATTTAGGTCCTAATATGTACATTTTATGTGCTAATATGTACATTTTAGGTCCTTATATGTCAATTTTAGGTGCTAATATGTACAATTTAGGTCCTAATATGTACATTTTATGTGCTAATATGTACATTTTAGGTCCTTATATGTCAATTTTAGGTGCTAATATGTACAATTTAGGTCCTAATATGTACATTTTATGTGCTAATATGTACATTTTAGGTCCTTATATGTCAATTTTAGGTGCTAATATGTACAATTTAGGTCCTAATATGTACATTTTATGTGCTAATATGTACATTTTAGGTCCTTATATGTCCATTTTTAGGTGCTAATATGTACATTCTATGTGCTAATATGTACAATTTAGGTCCTAATATGTACATTTTAGGTGCTAATATGTCCATTTTAGGTGCTAATATGTACATTTTAGGTCCTTATATGTCCATTTTAGGTGCTAATATGTACATTTTATGTGCTAATATGTACATTTTAGGTCCTTATATGTCCATTTTAGGTCCTTATATGTTCATTTTAGGTCCTAATATGTACAATTTAGGTCCTAATGTACATTTTATGTGCTAATATGTACATTTTAGGTCCTTATATGTCCATTTTAGGTCCTAATATGTCAATTTTAGGTCCTTATATGTACATTTTAGGTCCTTATATGTCCATTTTAAGTCCTTATATGTACATTTCGGCAGCTAATATGTCCATTTTAGGTTCTAATATGTACATTTTAGGTGCTAATAAGTAAATTTTAGGCCCTTATATGTCCATTTTAGGTCCTTATATGTACATTTCTGGGGAGCTAATATTTTCTAATATTTTAGGTTCTAATATTTTAGGTTCTAATATGTACCACTAAGGTACCAATATGCAGCCTTTGGGTACAAAAGTGTACCCTTTGAAAAGGTACAGTCCCAGTGACAGCTTTTGTACCTTTTTCTGAGAGTGCACGGTGACACGGATGCCTTAAAATAAAGTGTAACCAAAAAATCGTGCATCCATGCGTTTTTTTGATGGTCTGACTGCACGTGTCCGGTGTTGTTGTTCTGATGATGATGATGATGATGTTTGCAGGGTTTCCAGTGGCGTGTGTCTCGTGTGGTGGAGCCTCAGAAGGGTGTGTGTAAAGAGAAAGGTTTCTCCATCGCTGCGGCTCTTCCTCGGCCCTGTTACGCGTCTCTGATGAGACAGATGTCCAACACCAGTGTGAGATCAGAGGAGAGACTGGCCTTCAGTCAGACACAACACACACCGACACACATCGCTCAGCAGCTCACATTACTGGAGCAGGTGAGGAAAACACACACACCTCTCACTGTCTCTGTCGGAAATATATTATACATTACATCACTGTAAAAAAATATTGATGGTTTAACTTAAAAAAGTAAGTAACCTGGTTGCCTTAAAATTTTAAGTTGATTGAACTGGAAAAAGTGAGTTAATACAATGAAGGAGATTAATTTAACCATCAGAAACTCAAAATAATAAGTTATCTCAACTAAATAAATTATTATAAAGTTGATTTGACAAAAGAAAATATGTTGTGATATTTTTTACAGTGATGTAATATAATATGATAAAATATATTGTGTATATATTACACTACTAGTCAAATGCTTGGAATAATTACGTTTTTTAATGTTTTTAGTCTCCTCTGCTCACCAAGGCTACATTTATTTGATCAAAAATACAATAAAAATAGTGTAATATTATTCCAATGTAAATCATCTGTTTTCTATGTGAATATATAGTAAAGTGTAATTTATTCCTGTGATTTTCAGCATCATTACTCCAGTCTTCAGTGTCACATGATCCTTCACAAATCACTCTAATATGAGGATCTGAAGATCAACAAACATTTATGATTATTATTATCAGTGTTGAAAATGGTTGCGCTGCGCTTCATATTGTTTTGCTTCATTTAGGGTAACATCTAAAAAAAATATAAATAATAATTAGTAGTTTTATTAATCAAGGATGCATTAAATTGATCAAAAGTGACAGTAAAGACATTTATAATTACAAAAAATATAAGTGCTCTCCTTTTGTACTTTATATTAATCAAAGAATCCTAAACAAAATGGATCACGGTTTCCACATACATTAAGTAATATTATTTGTATCAATAATTAAGCATATTGGAGTGATTTGTGAAGGATCATGTGACACTGAAGACTGGAGTAATGATGATAAATTCAGGAATAAATTACACTTTACTATATATTCACATAGAAAACAGATGATTTTCCAAAATATATTCAATATATATGATCGTCCCAAGTGTTTTAATTTTCATCATCATTCGTTTCTTGTTGTTTTTTTATTTTAAAAGATGATTTTGTGCTCAATTCTCACGCTGTTATTTACAGATCCACCTCTAGGCGGAGACACATCATCATTGTCTTATTTTCATGCATTTAAGGACTTCAAGGACTGAATCACCTCTCATGTGTCAAATACCGGTTTTGATTCAGCATTTATATTCACGTCTCACACAGGAAATATTCCAGGACTGTCATCCAGTTCACTTTCTGAACTCAAGAGCTCATGGAGTGGCAGAAAACGCACACATTTCCAGGTGAGTTTCCACCGATGCCCTTCTGAAACTCAGATCCGTGAAAATGTGTGTAAAGGATAGTTAACACAGTGTATCCGCTCTTTAACCCTCTGGGGTTGTTCGGCCCAAATGGACCTGAAGAATTTAAATAATTTTTTTTTTTTTTAAATCACAGCTTCCTCGGAGTGGTCTGAAATTTGGTGACTTTGTTGGTATTTGGTATTTGAACACCCAAAAAAATTGGGGACAGGATGTGAATAGTCTAAGTGGTTGTAAAAAAAAATAGTCACACTTGGGGTGTTCGGGTCCAAATGGACCCGCATGAAAAATGAATGGGAAATTGGCAAAAATGTGAAAATAATGAGTTTTTTTGTGCGTACAATCTACAAATCAGCCACGATCTTGAAAAAAAAGCACACAACAGTGAAGGGGTGAATCTATAAAACATCAAGAGTGCAAAACAGACACATCCAGACACACACACACATACACAAACACACTTTTATACACAAACACACCAAAAAATTCAGATTATACATGTGTTTTGCATTTTTAAAATGCTCAGTTTGTCCACCAGATGGCATCCATCTCATTTCAAAAATTGCTTTTATGAGGCCTAGGCTTGACTCTAAAATGAAATACAGCTTTAAAAAAAAAATATTTATAATATATATAAAAATATGTATATATTTTATAAATTTATATATTTATATAATTTTTAATATATAAAAATAATATTTTTTTCTATTATGTTCAATGGGGGAAAATTTTGTCATAATTATTGCATTAATACTAATTATATATATATATTTTTTTTTTGAAATTTTCTCAAAACACCAAAAAAGAAAAGAAAAAAATATTATAAAAAACGAGTAAAAAAAAAAAATCATGATTTTTTTTTTTTTTAAATATGAATCCCTCCCTTTGGGTCCATTTGGACCCGAACACCCCGAGTGTGACTCTGAAATGAACAACCCCAGAGGGTTAAAGTCTCTAAACATTTTTCTAATTCATTTAACACACTCCATGCAACTTCACAGATATATGTTGAGGATGTGTGACGGTAATCATTATAATATGTTTTTTTATATGGCGCCTTTCAAAAAACTCTACAAGTACAAATAAACATGACTTAGAAACAATACAAATAATTTCAGAAGGATAGCATAATACACAGTGGTACATAAACATGGAAATCAAGGGAAAGTAGCAAACCGATATGTTTTAAGGTGGGTTTTGAAATCGTGTAAAATTGATAGACTGTAGAAGTTCGTGTGTGTGTGTGTGTTGTTCAGGTGTGTGTCTCTAGAGGACAACAGTCTGTTCCTGAGGGACGTGTCGGGGCCCGAGGAGCCGCTTCACACACTCATCACACACACACACCGTGTCAGCAACTGGGTTTCTGCTGAACTGGTCATCTGTGACTCGGTCAAGGTGATTCCTCAGAGTTTATTGAGCTTTTTCAAACGTTGGAAATGTTTATGAATGTTCACAACAGAACAGTTTTTATTCTGAGTCTCATTTTAGATTTAATCCATTGCAAAACCTCGCAAGAACATGTCTGGAGAAATCAAAGAAATTAATTCTCTAATATGCACATAAATTAAAATTTTAGTATTTACACTTTTCATAATGCCAGGTGTGTTTACTTAAGGGTTAATCCGCCGAAGTCCACGAAGGGCATTGACCCGCTTATATACCACGGTCACTTGCCAAATAACACATTTTTAAAACATTAGTTTATAGTTTAATTAGTTTTACAATCAATAACTTGGTTTCCCTGGTTACGCCTGACGGTTTATTTAGCAACTGGAGATATTTATAGTCGCAGAACCCTTCAGTTTAGCTAACTTACGAGCCAGAAAGTTAACTAGCGTTACACTTTCTTTTTTTAAGCTATAATTAAAACACACAGGTAGTAGTATAACGGCTAACTAGATATTTGTTGTGATATAATACATTGTAACCGGATACTTTGACTGCCTGTTGCTATGGTTACTCACAGCTGATGTCGCCAGCGCATTGGTTTATTAATTTCGAACGGTGAACTCCTGTCCTAGGTGTCCTCTATCACTGTTTAATGGACACCCTGCAGCCAATCAGAATCGAGTATTCACCCAGACCACGGTATAAATATATATATATTTTATTTCCAGGCACAGGCAGCTTTACTCGCTCGGTTTCTTGCTGTTGGGAAGTTCTGCTACGAGACGAGAAACTTTGCCACCGCCATGCAGATTCTGTCGGGTCTGGAGAATGTGATTGTTAGGCAATTACCGGTAAGAAACGAAACGGCTCGTAATCCCGTTCTCTCTAAGTGATAAACGATCCCGCATTGAGAGAGTCATAACCTCATAAGCTCGACTGTATTTGCTGTATTTGCTTTATCTTATCTGGCAGCTCCAGCAGCTGAAATGTTAATTGCATGTGCCTTTAAACTGATTAAACACTAGCTCTATTTTTCAGCCTGTTTACGAGCATGAAAGGGTTATAATCGACATGCATTCGGCATTTTGTGCAGAAACAAAACATTATTCATCATATTTGGCGTGAAATGAAATTGCATGATAAATGGGTTTTTATAAGCCTACTTATTCCCATCTTAATTAGTTTTACAGCATTTGTCCTGATTGTGTTGTGTGTGTGTGTGTGTGTGTGTGTGTGTGTTGAGCGGCAGGCGTGGAAGCAGCTCTCGGGGAAAGTGTGTGAGGTTCTGGAGGAGCTCAGGGCTGTGCAGGTGAGACGCTCGAAGCAAACCTGATTTATAAAGCACTTTAAAACAACCAAAGTGCTGGACAGAAGAAATAAACAACAAACACAAATTGCATACCTAATGTAAAGCATATTGCATACTGCATACTTAATGTAAAGCATATTGCATACTGCATACTTAATGTAAAGCATATTGCATACTGCATACTTAATGTAAAGCATATTGCAACTTAATGTAAAGCATATTGCATACTTGATGTATAGCGTATTGCATACTTAATGTAGAGCATTATTGCATACTGAATACTTAATGTAAAGCATATTGCATACTGCATACTTAATGTAAAGCATACTGCATAGTTAATGTTGAGCATATTGCATACTTAATGTAAAGCATGCTCCATTCTTTATGTAAAGCATGCTGCATACTTAATGTGAAGCATATTGCATACTGAATACTTAATGTAAAGCATATTGCATACTGCATACTTAATGTAAAGCATGCTACATACTTAATGTAAAGCATATTGCATGAAGCATACTGCATACTTAATGTAAAGCATATCATACAAATCAAGAGAAAAAATACATCACTTAAATGTAGTCTATAGGTCCCACCCCAATCAACTATTTTTTGATTTTGAATTATATTACTATATGCTGTGTAGCACTTCGAGATCATTTTTTATTTACTTTGCTGTAAAGTGCAATATAAAATAAAATGTATTATTATTATTATTATTATCATCACTTTGACTGACCTCAACACACACGTGACGATTGACATACTTTACATGATGCACTTATTATATTACTTTAAAATCATTATATATATATAGAAATTTAATGATGATAATATAACAAAAACCGCTTCACCATTTTTTTAATAACTTAAACAAATTCTTAATTGCTACTATTGTTACTATTACTTTTAAATCATTATAATTATTAAATAAAAATATTATTATAATAAATATTTTTTTTTTTGTGACATGCTTCACCACTATTGTTTTTAATTATTTTGATAATTTATTATTTTTTATTTATTTATTATTATTGTTTATAATATTATATTGTTATTAATAACATTAATAATAAACAATTTACCCCCCCCCATCTCCAGATGGTTACACCACCTACTCATTTATGTCTAGCACTCATTTATGTCATTGTTTTGTGGATTTCATTTTTAATATTGCTTTGAATAAATGAATGCATTGCATTAAAGGGTTTAATGATGGTCAGTTTATGTGTTCCCTGGGATGCAAACCCTGACCTCGGTGTTGCGAGCAGCATGCTGTATCCTGAAAGTGGGCTGTTGTTTCAGGTGTTTCTGAAGAGTGATAATCTGTGTCTGATGGAGGGATTGAAGCGTGGAGGGCGTCCGACTCTCCCAGACGCTCAGATCTTCGCTCTGCACATTCAGCAACTGGAGATTGGCGCGTTCACCATGACCAGCGGATCCTACAAGTGGCCCAAACTGAGGTTTGATCCCTTACAAGTGCACGACACAAGTGCTGACAGTGAAGCCGAAGCGTCTCGATCGCCCCCCGGTGGCCGGTCCCAGTATAGCTCATAAACCCAGTCTCGATCGCCCCCCGGTGGCCGGTCCCAGTATAGCTCATAAACCCAGTCTCGATCGCCCCCCGGTGGCCGGTCCCAGTATAGCTCATAAACCCAGTCTCGATCGCCCCCGGTGGCTGGTCCCAGTATAGCTCATAAACCCAGTCTCGATCGCCCCCGGTGGCTGGTCCCAGTATAGCTCATAAACCCAGTCTCGATCGCCCCCCGGTGGCTGGTCCCAGTATAGCTCATAAACCCAGTCTCGATCGCCCCCCAGTGGCTGGTCCCAGTATAGCTCATAAACCCAGTCTCGAACGCCCCCCAGTGGCTGGTCCCAGTATAGCTCATAAACACAGTCTCGATCGCCCCCAGTGGCCGGTCCAAGTATAGCTCATAAACCCAGTTTCGATCACCCCCCGGTGGCCGGTCCCAGTACAGCTCATAAACCCAGTCTCGATCGCCCCCAGTGGCCGGTCCCAGTATAGCTCACAAATGCGCTTCGTCACTATGTTGTTCTTCGTGCAAATAAGCTGCTAAAGTCAGCGAATAAAACACTGAGGAACAAGTTACAATAATAATCACAATAACTTATTATTTTACTGAGTAATTAAGTAAACCTAATATCTTAATGTATCTTTGTAAAGAAAGCTCATTTCTTAACTGGCTACTCTCTGCTGTCTCGGACGACGACATCACTTCCTGTCGGCCACACTTTTGGGTGCAATTCGCAACCTCACCACTAGATGCCGCTAAAATCACACACTGCACCTTAAAGTGAAGAATGAAAAAGAACTTGAGTATATCAGGGCCTTACACATTACTACACAACACACACACGTGCACCGCAGGAGAGACAGCTGCCGAGGGCAAAGGTCACGGACAGTCAGATGTGGCGGTAATGACGCAGCTGGTGATGCTGCATGCTGGTGTGTGTGTGTGGAGCAGATGGTGTGTGATTGGAAATGCTTTGCCCGGGGGCACGAGTCGATGCCAGGAGCCGTAAGGCTGCGTTTGTAGCAGATTCTGAGGTGGACACACACATGGTTGCTGTACATCTGTAGCTCACCGCGCACAGAATCAGGTCACTCGCACACACACACACACACACACACATTTAAGCTGAAGAAATGAATTTTTGTCTGGACTTAAACTAACTCTAGTTGTGTTTCTATTACCGATTTGTGCAAAACTTTTGCGATATTTTCTAAATGTCGATAAAAAAATTATTTGACGTAATATGCATGAAAGTTAAAATAAAAACAACATTGGAACCATTCTCAAACTTCTCTCAGCATGAGTCAATTAATGTTCATTTTCCGTTTATTTCGTTAATTTCTCTCTGCACTTATAAATAAACCTTACTAAATATTTACATAAATACAAACACAAGGGCACATATTTTCATAGGTAGCCTATTTTATCTATTTTATAGGGCTGTGCAAAAGTTAATTGCGATTAATCGCATCCAAAATAAAAGTCTGTGTTTACATAGTATATTTGTGTGTGCTGTATTATTTTGTATATATAAATACACACACATGCATGTATATGTTTTAGAAAATGTGTTATTCCTATATAAAATATTTATATTTATATAATATAGATTATGTATTTATATATATACACAGAATTCAAGCGCAAATAATTCTTAAATATATACATGCATGCATAGGTATTTATATATACAAAATAATTATATACAGCACACTCAAATATATTATGTAAAACAGACTTTTATTTTGGATGCGATTAATCGCAATTAACTTTTGCACAGCCCTACTATTTTATTAATGTTATTAATTTAGTTGCTAGAATGCTGCCTATCAAAAGATACATTTTTTTTATTGTCGTTTATTTAAATTTATTTGAACATCTCCGTTTATGTTGATACGGGTGGTTGCTAAGAGTGGTTGCTAGGGGTGGTGTAGTGATACATAGAACCGTTGGGTGAAACGGTCATAGCCCTGTTTATCAATAAAGCACAGCTATTGACCAATCAGAATCAAGGATTGGAACTAACCATTTTATAAGATTACATATAGTCTAGCCACCCCACTAGACATTATTATGATTGGAAGAAGTGTGTGTGTGTGTGTGTGTGTTATCCAGCATTAAGGAAAGGAAAGCCTCCGATACTGAGAGCGGCTCATATGAGGAGTTTCTGGGAGTTTCTGCTTCAAGATCTTGATAAACTGTGCCATTATTCCAGTATTCCTGTCATTCTTTTAACTTTTATGAGTTTAATAAAAAAGTCCCGTCTTCTGTACAAACACACCGCTTCTTCTACGTCATGTGACTGAAAAAGCACCTCACGCGAGCATACATTTTTGCAATATATGGGTGTTTTTGAGAAATCGACGTGTGGTGTATTTTTAATTCGCAATTTCAATTTGCGCAATTTAAAGGGTAATGGAAACGCGGCTAGTGATGATTTATGAATTGATTTATGAATTGTTATACGCAGGGCAAAGTTCTTTTTCATTCTTCTCTTTGAATAAGTGTGAAATACGTGACTAGCGAACATCCCAAGGCTGCCCACGGCATCGTATAAATATGTTCTTTCCTCTCAATGACAAAAACATGCATTGAGAAACAGCATCTGATTAAAGCTCATGTGTTTGGCTTTTTGCAGCAATTCAGCACTGTCATATCACGATTATTTATATAGCACTTATAGAAATATCATCATAGATTGCTATAAACATTTAAAAAAAATGTCTGTGTCACTTTCGATTTAGAATTACTGCTTCAGTTTGTACTGTAAATCTATTCGTGTCTGACCTCGACGGCTGCGCAGAAGAGATGAACCGGAGAAGATTTACACCTCAACACACACACACACACAGACACACACACACACCTATTAGGTCGCCAGTTCTCACCATCCGGAGCAATGGGGTTTCTAGGTTTACTAGTTTGTTATTATTACTACTGCTATTAGTATGTATGAGTATTAAATAAATAAATAAATATTTAAAAAAGACATATTACTATTGTGATATTCACTGTAAAATAAAAAAAAAATGTAGTTGAGTTGAGTTGAGTTCGGATGAGTTGAGTTCGGATGAGTTGAGTTGGGTTGGGTTTAATTCAGGAGAGATGAGTTCGGATGAGATGAGTTCGGATGAGTTGAGTTCAGAAGAGTTGAGTTGAGTTCAGAAGAGTTCAGTTCGGATGAGTTGAGTTCAGAAGAGTTTAGTTCGGATGAGTTGAGTTCAGAAGAGTTTAGTTCGGATGAGTTGAGTTCAGATGAGTTGAGTTCGGATGAGTTGAGTTCGGATGAGTTGATGAGTTGAGTTCAGATGAGTTGAGTTCGGATGAGTTGAGTTCAGATGAGTTGAGTTGAGTTCAGATGAGTTGGGTTGGGTTGGGTTTAATTCAGGAGAGATGAGTTCGGATGAGATGAGTTCAGAAGAGTTGAGTTCGGATGAGTTGAGTTCAGAAGAGTTGAGTTCAGATGAGTTGAGTTCGGATGAGTTGATGAGTTGAGTTCGGATGACTTGAGTTCAGATGACTTGAGTTCAGATGAGTTGAGTTCAGATGAGTTGAGTTCAGATGAGTTGAGTTTGGATGAGTTGAGTTGAGTTCGGATGAGTTGAGTTGAGTTCAAACTCAACTCAACTCATCTGAATTTAACTCAAATCAACTCAATTTAACTCATCTGAACTCTGAACCGGTTCAGTTGAGTTGAGTTCAGTTGAGTTGAGTTCAATTCAGTTGAGTTCAGTTGAGTTGAGTTCAGGTGAGTTGAGTTCAGTTGAGTTGAGTTCAGGTGAGTTGAGTTCAGGTGAGTTGAGTTCAATTGAGTTGAGTTCGGAAGAGTTGAGTTCGGATGACTTGAGTTCAGATGACTTGAGTTTGGTTGAGTTGAGTTCAGATGAGTTGAGTTCAGATGAGTTGAGTTCAGATGAGTTGAGTCGAGTTCGGATGAGTTGAGTTCGGATGTGGTTGAGTTCGGATGAGTTGAGTTCGGATGAGTTGAGTTCGGATGAGTTGAGTCGAGTTCGGATGAGTTGAGTCGAGTTCGGATGAGTTGAGTCGAGTTCGGGTGAGTTGAGTCGAGTTCGGGTGAGTTGATTCGAGTTCGGGTGAGTTGAGTCGAGTTCGGGTGAGTTGAGTCGAGTTCGGATGAGTTTAATCGAGTTCGGGTGAGTTGAGTCGAGTTCGGATGAGTTGAGTCGAGTTCGGATGAGTTGAGTCGAGTTCGGGTGAGTTGAATCGAGTTCGGGTGAGTTGTGTCGAGTTCGGATGAGTTGAGTCGAGTTCGGGTGAGTTGTGTCGAGTTCGGATGAGTTGTGTCGAGTTCGGGTGAGTTGTGTCGAGTTCGGATGAGTTGAGTCGAGTTTGAACTCGACTCATCTGAATTTAACTCTAATCAACTCATTTAAACTCATCCGGTTCCGTTGAGTCGAGTTCAGTTGAGTTCAGATGGGATCAGATCCTGAACTGCACGTGTGTAAATGAAACAATGCAGCGTATCACTCTGAAACACACACACACACACTGCTTGTATTGATCAAACTAAATGCAGTTTTTGCCTTTTCATGATCACTTAAAGCATGGTTGTGTTCTTAGCCCGTTCCTCTGGCATCTAGAGCGAGTCCTGTGACGAGTCTTGTTGTGCTTCTCTCCTGTTCTCAGGAACATCGCGCGTGTGGTCAGTCAGATCCATGCGTTTCAGGAGCATCTCTATTCCTACGCTCCTGACCTCGAGCTCCAGGCGTTCCTGCGCGAGCGAATCGCTCGATTCAGCGAGTGTGACGTTCCTCTACTCGCCTCACACAACGATGCCAACTTCACCCAGATGGCCAGCGACCGATACACACACCGGATCCAGGACACACTGCGTAGGGTCAAAGCCTCGTTTCAGTGAGAGAACGCGGTCCTGAACACACACACACACACACAGATGTGGACGCTATGAGGAGCCGAATCACGTCCTAAACTCTGATCAGTTGCAGTTTCTCAGCTCAGGTGTTGATGAGTGGGAGATATAATAGTCTTGTGTTAAGTGTTGGTAACACTTTATAATAAGGTTCATTAGTTAATGCATTGAACTAACCATGAGCAGTAGATTTGTTACATTGTTAATAATCTTTGTTAATGTTAGTTAATATAAATACAGCTAGTATTAACTAATGTGAACTAATACAACCTTTGATTTTAATAACGTATTAGTAAATGTTGAAATTAATATTACCTAAGATTAATAATGCTGTAGAAGTATTGTTCATTCTTAGCTCATGCTAACTGGTATTTAACTAATGAACCTTGTAAAGTGTGACCGGATGTGTTTCAGGATAACACACACACCAGTTTCTGTTTGATGAATGGGTGATTCTCTAGTGAAGATATTTTAAAGAACAAACACTTTCATCGTTTGTGTTCAGCTACGCAACCAAATAATGTATTTATAGATTTATTGATGATAATTGTTGAGAAATTATTCATTACATTTTAGATCGAAGTAGCCTTATACATTATAAATGCCTCAAGAGAATAGAGACAAGTATTATACTTTCAAAAATAGACTATATTTCTACACCGTGGTAAACTAATCTTAGAAAAATTGCTATATTTTGTGCATAAATTTCAATTTAACTATATAAATAATATAAATATAATAATATTTATTTATATATAAATAATAAATAATATTTTTAACTTGTAATCTCAAGAAGCACGTTGTTTACAGTGCAGGATTATGAATTAATAGCCATTTAAACAGAGATAGACATAATAAAATTGCATTATGTTGAATGAAGAACTTCTTAATTTAATACAGTGTGTTTTTCAGATGTGCAGAATGCATTTCCAAACATGTAATTCGCCATCTTGGTGTTGACTTTTGACCTGTAGTATATTCTTTGAGCTTTGATAGCTAAAAAATCTCTGTTTTCTGCAATTTTACAGCCAGTGAAATCTGATGTAAATCGCTCAAAACTGCTAGGTTAAAAAAAAAAAAAACCTAAACAAAATAGCTATTTTTTTTAACAAAATAGCTTTTTTTTATAATAAAAAAAATCATCATTCACAATCCTTTATATTTAATTCAGTTCGAGTGTTGTTTGCTTTAAACGTTTTCTTGAAAACCATCTGATCTGGACTCTGTCTGACCATTCAACGAGATTCATTGTTTCCAGATCTGCTCTCTTCTCGGATTTGTCTCACGCGGAGGCGAGGAAACGCGCGCCCCCGGAGGCGCAGTGTGCGTGCGGCGCGCGGCCGATCCTCCTCATTGTTCAGTAACGGATCAAAGCGCTCGAGATAAAGGCTTTAATTGCGAGTCAAAGAGCTCGAGCTCCTGCACTATAGATCAGTGATAAAGGAAACAGTCAACATGCCGTTATCGCCATTGTCCAGCTAAACGATCCTTTCAAAGCCTCGTCTCATTCAAATACAGTCCGATAAGAAGAAACCCCTGATGAACTGTTGCGAGCATCACATCACACACTGAGGAGGATTTATCACCAATATTATTGAATCTTGTTTGATCACGAAACTTCAAATAAACAAATTATATGAAGACTTTTGAATTGATTTGTTATATTCCACTAATTTTAAAGACTATTAAAACAACTGATTTTCGGATTGCCTATTACGTGGTAAAATTAAGGTTTTCATCGTTAAACAGCAGGTAACATTAAATATGCATATGTGCATATTTTGCATTGATCCATTCTAAAGTAAATAGGCCTGAATCAAATGCAAGTAAAGTGTTGCACGGTTCTCGGGTGCCAGCAGATATGTTCACTGTGAGTTGCTGGGCTTCAGCTTGTCTGGGTGTGAATTAGCATCTGAACCGCTGGTCAATCACAGTTAATTGTGTTGCTACTGTAACGCCTTTGATCCGGGATGTTTGCGGCGCGGCGCCAGAGACTCTGCGGGACTCCAGCGTGTGTTAATGCGCGCCATTTGAGCCCTGTGTCGTCAGACACACACAACACAGTACTGTACGGGGAGAAACGACACTTTTTGTGTTTTTTTTTTTTTGAGTAATTGGAAAAAAAAAAAATGAAGCAGCAACAAGTTGGGCCTACATATACATTTTTTTCACTGAAATCAGAGTAACAGACACATTAAAACCCCTAAAATGTTATTTAGAGGCCGATATATAAGCATCAAATGCCAGAATAGGAGCAGATATAAAATAAACAAGTGATGAAAAATAAACAGCATTTTTATTGTCCATATTTATGCTTTTATTTTATTCGTGCGATTTGGAACTTTTACTTTTCAGGATTCATTGATAAATACAAAGTTCAAAAGGACAGCATTTATTCAAAATAGAAATGTGCTATAAATCTTAAATTGAAAGATAGAAGTCTTTATAACTTTTTATCAATTTAAAACACCATTGCTGCTGACTAAAAAAAAAAAACCTGAACCAAAACGTTTGCTCAATGGCGTATATTGTTACAAAACATGTCTATTTTAAATAAATGGAAAAAAAAAACGTTTTATTCAAATCCTTAAAAAAATCACAGGTGATAAAATAAAAAATATGAAGCAGCTCAACTGTTTCCAACATTGATAATAAATCCTCATATTAGAGTGATTTGTGAAGGATCATGTGACACTGAAGACTGGAGTAATGATGATAAATTCAGCTTTGATCACAGGAATAAATTACACTTTACTGTATATTCACATAGAAAACAGATGATTTACATTTTAAAACTATTTCACATTTCTTTACCGTATTTTGATCAAATAAATGCACACTCTAAAAAATGCTGGGTTGTTTTAACCCAATTTTGGGGTAAAATATGGACTAATTTAAAAATGTAACCCAATAGCTGGGTTTGTCCATATTTTACCCAAAATTGGGTTAAAACAACCCAGCATGCATTGAAGACCATATGACACTTCTTTCAAACACTTTAAAAACTTTTGACCAATGTATGCATATATTGGGCATATGATTAAAATGTGTATAAACATATATCCGTTTCAGCGTGTTATTGAGGGTTTTCTCGTGTAATCTGTAAGTTTCCAGTTGTTCTGCCTCTCCATGTGTGTGTGAAGAGGATGCAGACATCTGGATGAGCCAGAGGTTCTCACAGACAAGCTGGCGCCAGGCTTTCACACAATCACAGGATATGTAAAGACTTCAATAACGAGCCATTAGGCCTAATGATTGAGAATCGATCAGGCGTTAACTCCTGCATGCATATGTTAATGTGACGCCGGGACGCGCCGTATATATGGCCGGCGCTTCTGGAGGCCTGAAACACTCCTGGATTTACTCGGATAGATTCACTTCCTCTGCTCTCGGAGAACACACACACACACAGCGATCATGGTGAAGGTGTTTTCTGTGGACTGGCTCGCTCAAAGCGTTCATGATGCGACTCCTCAAGCGGCTCTGGAGCCGGAGAAGAGGACGCACAGGCCTCATGTGCCGTGTGTGGTTCAACCCAGACCTCCAACATCATATGACAAGGTTTATCTGCAACCAAAACCAAAACCAACCAAAGCCGAGGAGAAACCAGAATCCTCAACTCCGGTTGCGCCAAGAAACTGCTCATCTCCAAGCTGTAAGTATACTCCATCACTAATGTGCTTTCGACTCATTTAATGCATGCAATCCACGCATACGGTTCGATAACTGACGATGCATTGTTATATTTGATTCAGTTTCAGAAAACAGTGGTTATTCGTCTGGTTATGAGAGTGAAGCGGCCGCGTCGGAATGCGCGTCCGTCGATGATGTAAACGACGGTGCCACGCGCAGAATCAGAACTAAATTCACACCGGGACAGATCGACAAACTGGAGAAAATCTTCAACAAGCACAAATATCTGGACGCGGGAGAGAGAGTGAAAACCGCGCTGAAGCTCGGTCTGTCAGAAACACAGGTGAGACGCGCGCATCTAACTTTATTCACTTTATTTACATGCACTCTCTCCAAACGCTTGATGTGAAGATTAAAAGTGGAACATATTTTTAAACGCGCGTGTGCTTTTGTTCTTCAGGTCCGAACCTGGTTCCAGAACCGCAGGATGAAGCTGAAGCGCGAGGTCCAGGAGATGCGCGCGGACTATATGCTGCCTCCCGTGGTTCTTCCGCACGTGCACGCGCTTCAGTACCATTGCTTCGACCGACAGCGACTTCCGTTTGCTCCTCACGGGCCTTTGATGCATCAGCAGCACGTGATGCCACATCTTCCTCATCATCATCATCATCCTCATCATCACCTCATGATGCCAAGGCAACATTACTACTGAAGACTCTTTCCTTTAAAAACACTTATATCACATCCTGTGTGCAATATCTGTACAGTTTGTTGGAAAAAAAAGCTGGTTTAACTAAAAAAGAAGAGTTTATTTATGATCAGAAATAAAGTATGTTTTATGCACAAAGTTTACTTGGTGATTTGTTCGTGTTTTACACGCTTAAAGTTGTTATAGAAGTGATTAGATCTGAAAAATTAGTTTTCCTGAATCATGTTAAAGTCATTTAGTGAGAATCTTGGTCATTAAGGCAATCTCATGCATAAAACATTAAAGACCTAAAAATAGATATTCCATGATATTAGCGAAATATACACTCTCAGAAAAAAGGGGTGAACCCATGTACATATTTGTACTTAAAGTGTGCATATTACTATCTCACATATTGGTACCATAAATTGAACCTTTTGAAAGGGTGCCGTCCCAGTGATAGATGTACACCTGTATAATGTAAGTTTCACATGCATTAAAAATAGCAGAAATAAACTTGTTTATAAGATGAGATGGTTTATAAGATTTATATCCCAAATTATAAGATGGTTTGACACTGTTTTAGAACTTTTCATTGTCTTGCTTAAAACCTACACTGAAACCCAATGTGCATCATAGATGTGTATATCCAAATAACAATAGGCCTATGCACGCTTCTCTCTTCTCTAAATGTGTTGTATTAACGAGCACAAATGGCATCATGTGTCCTCTAGAGCTAATGCAGCACATTTCGAGAAAACAGAAGCATGCATATTGTTATCTGGATATACACATGATGCACACTGGGTGGATAGGTTTTTAAGCAAAACAATAAAGAGGATATTAAAGAGGATATATATAATAAAACGAGAGAGCTTTATTTAAATCAAATGTAGGCGCCAAAGAAACCCTCAACAGGACCCGCTGTGCTTTCATATGCACGTCACCTCAGTGTGTGTGTGTGTGTGTGTGTGTGTGTGTGTTTGTGTCCGCGACACTTCAAACGAAACCTAACGAGCAGATCATGCTCGACAATTAGTCCTAAGTCACCCATTGATGAGTTTACACTCTCCGCATAATCCAACAGACTGCGGCTCCATCATGTCTGGGTTGTGTGTGTATGTGTGTGTGTGTCAGCCTGATGTCAGGAAATGCGTCTGTGTTTATCGTGCAATTTATATGCTGAAATGAGTTTTTACGTGCATATGAGACACAGTTTTCGCGTGCATATGATCCATACGCACATTATTGCGTATAATCCACACCTCACACCACCAACGGGTTTAATGTGCGTATATGCTCTTTTTTTCGTGTATAAATTGCACGATAAACACAATGTGTGTTGTAGAGGCGTGTGTGTGGTCCTGGTATTCCCCACTTTATTGGGAGCAAATGTCCCCCTAAATACAGCAACATTAGCAAATTTTGATCTCGTGCTCGTGGGACATGTTTTGGTCCCCATAGCTTATAAATCATACAGAATGAGTTTTTTATTATTATTATTAAAAAAAAGTTTTGTGTGATGGATAGGTTCAGATCTGCATTAAACATGAGTGTGTGTGTGTGTGTGTGTGTGTTTGTGTGAGAAAGAGAGAGACAGACAGACAGACAGAGAGAGAGTATGCGTGTTTGTGTAGGCCTGTATGTGTGTGCGTGCATGTGCGGCCCCGCGCTCGTGCATGTTTAAAAGTTCACATTAGCCGTCAGTATTTATTGTTCGCCCTTTTTTATCAGCCTCATGATAAAATTAAAACGAACTATTTTACTGAAGGCAATCGAGGTTAATAACGAGTGATCATTTTGCAAGATTAATCATACAATCAATCATGTCATTATTTCATCCCATCATTAAGGCATATCTCACAACAAGTCTTTTTAATACAACACATGTGTTTACTTTGGATCGGCAAAGACTTATGTTCACTTTTTCTTTCTTTTTTTGAAGTTGCATAGAGTTCTGCAGGTTTATTGATGAAGTCATCATATATAGGCCTTTATTTTTTTCTCTCTCTTTTTTTTCTGCTTGGTTAATAGTTTTTTGTATATCGACAATATTTGTACATTCTATCCCCTGAGAGAGTTTTGTATATTACTTCTTGTCAAAAAAAACCCCCCAAAAAAACACATTGCTAAAAAAAAAAAAATCATATATAGGCCTATAGCCTATTATACACTGCAACTTATTTAGTTGCAAGTACATTATTAGAGACTAGAGCGTTTTACAGAAACATACTATTTAATTTTTAAGTGTTACTTGCCATCTTTGTAATTTTGTTGTGCGATTTACTTGCAAATAAAGTATCCTAAACCAGTTTTTGTTCAGTGTATTGCAACACAAAACTGTATGTTTAATTAAATGAAACCTGTTTGCATGATTGGTTTTATACATTTATATTCTCGAAGCTCCTGAAACAGGCGGTTTTATTGCGCAAACTCAGAGACGCATCTCTTGCCATTACTCTCGCTCAGGTCACAGCACACACTCTTTACAGCAGGAGACAGGAGGAGACACGGCAAAAGCACAAGATATTTCACATCCATGATGAAAACGCATTTAATGTTTAATGCAATAAGATGAGAATTTGCATAGATTGGACAGATTAAACTAAAATGGGGATCAGGACTTAATCCGACTGTCACTAAAACAATGATCCACCCAAAAGTCTTGACACTCTTTCATCTTCACATTATCTGTCGATGGATTATGTCTTGTCTTGAGTGGATGACCATTGATTGTATCAATGCGTTGATTATTCATCAGATCTTCGGGTACTTGAGGTGCTCAGACTCGCTGGCGCCTGGATATCACAAGTGCCGAACGTGTGAACAAGCCAATTGCGACATATATTAGCTTCAATTACAGAGTTATAATTCCGCAGAGAGTCGCTTTACTCATGCAAATGAGCGCGCGCCTCCTGCATAAAGTCCGAGAGGAACTTCAGCTCATCGAGTCGTGTTTAGGAGGAAACATCATGTCCAAGAACTTCTCCGTGGAATGGTTGTCCCAGAGTTTCCATGATAATAATATCCATAAACCATGTGATGCATCTTCAGAAATTGAAGAGGTAGAGAACAAGGCCTCGACTTCCCCTTTAAGTAAGTATGACCTTCTCTCTCTCATGTCTCTATTGCACACATTGTGTTTATCGATACGCAAACATAAGTTTTTATGTGCATAATATGATACGCAGTTTATTGCATGTAATACACAGGCACCCCACACCTCTGCTAATCCTACACAAGGGGAACTACTTTCCGCGTATACATTGCACGATATAAGCTACACAATTTAATGTGACCGTGCAATCCATTTTGAAATGCATCATGTTCTCCCCATCATCACATCAGATAGTTGTGGGTACACCTCTGCCTCTGAGAGTGATGATGTCGCCGATGACAGTGAAGGAGAATCCGGTGCGCGCCGCCGCGCCAGAACCAAGTTCACCACCGAGCAGGTCGCGCGCCTGGAGAAGAGCTTCAGCAAACACAAGTATCTCGGAGCGACTCAGAGACGCAAGATAGCGGAGAAGCTGCATCTGTCTGAAACACAGGTATGACATGTTATGCATGAACACTGCAGTTTAAACATGCTGTCACGTGCAGAAGTATGAGTCAGCGCATGCGTGTTTTAGTATTGGATGTTTAGATGTGTGTTGGGTGTAGGCCCTAAACTTTGGAACAAGCTTCAGTTTCAAGTCAGGTTTTGAAAACAGTTTGGGCTATATACATTTCTATATTCATTTGTTATTTAATTAATCCTAATTAATTGTATTTTGCATAAATAAAAAAAATAGTTTAATTGTTTGCATTTTTTGCAATTAATAGCCTGCTTATGCATATTTGACATCTCATTATAATATTGGTAAGACTGGAATAAGTCAATTGTTTAAAAATGTGTGTGTGTCTATATTTTTTAAAGTTGAAATTGACATACTAAATCAAAATTATGATTACTGTGAAATTCTAAAATGATGACCTTTAAAGTCATTTTACATAAAAAAGGCATCATTTCGATTTTCTAATCTCATAAGTATGACATGTCATAATTTCGATGTTCTCATGAAGTCATAGTTCATAATTATGTCATACTATTTCATATAAGTCACAATTATGACATTATGATTACATGATGCATGCATACATGTGCACTTTGTGTAAAATTGAATTAAAGTTGATATTTATGTTAATATGTTTCATCTTTAGGTGAAAACATGGTTCCAGAACAGACGGATGAAGCTGAAGCGGGAAGTTCAGGACATGCGCGCTGCCGAGTTTTTTGTGCCGACATTTCTTCCACCGGTGACGTCATTTCAGCACCAAGCCACGAGCGGACAGCGCGCGCGCCTGTATTACCCCGCGCGTGCACTGCAGCAGCGCGTCCACCCGGTGCTGTTCGCGCCCTGTTACTTTTAAGCATTTCCTTTGATTTTAAATGATCTGTAATCTAGAATTTAGATGTGATATATATATATATATATATAAAAAACAAAAAAAAAAAAAAACAAGCACTGTATGTAGTTCTATACATAACAAATATATATGTATGTACATAAATAAATATTGCCTTTGCGCACAACCTGAAGAAAATAAAACAAATAATGCTTTGACTCAATCAGGCTTTTTGCAGAAATTTTAATTATTTATCGGACGGGTCTAGACACTAATGTTATTCAAATTGCTTAATACAGGACACCCAACAGGCTATCAACGCGTTTTGTTATGTAGGCTATGTATTTATCATACATTCATACTCAAATATTCATCAAAATGTATAAATGTATTGTAAACACTGATGCAGCCTATTCAGTGATTATATAATCAACGTCATTTGATAGTGACTGAAATGCCCACATCCCCTGGTTTCTCCAATGCACGTACGTGTGATTCAGAGAACGAACATACGCACAAAAAGCGCGCCTACGCACGAATGAAAGCTGGCGCGCGCGGATTTTAGCGCACGCTCTGAGTTCAAGTCTGTGCGTGTGCACGTTTAATAAATGAGGCCCCTGGTCCCTGTGTTGAGATGTCCTGTGCGCAGACGTGAGCAGATTTGCGCAGATGCAGAAGCTCTCGGGCCATTAGCACCTGCAGAAGAGCATCAAAGCCCCTGTAACGAGCAGATGATGGAGATCAAGTCTGAATGGAGAAGTTCACACCCGACACACTGGCGCCATGAAGTCTGTCCTGATCGGATCCCGCAGAACTGGTGAGTGTGTGAGCTCGACATCAGGGTTAATAAAGTCAACACACCTCAAACACACTCAGCGGGGAGTCACGTGTTGCGCAGCTGGCGCTCTTTAAAGAGACAAACACATTTCTCCTGTCATTACACTACTTTGCATTTTATCGTTTTATTTTGTTCAAAGATTGTTGCTAGTGTCTTTATCTAATGCAAAACATGCTGATTTTTTGCTCAATAGTTAATTTATTTTTTCTTTTCTTACATAGCCTAATAAACACAACTTTTAATTATTGATTTTATTTTATGGTTTTCATCAGCTCAGATTTTAAGGTGAGAAAAAATCAAATGGTATTTTTATTCTGTACCATATATTTATATTTTCACGAAAACATCTTGTTCACTAATTATTTCCATCAATTTATTTTGATTTATGAATTTAGCCTATACTCAAGTTTTAAGCTTCTTTTCTTACATAATAAACACAGTGACATTAGCTTTTAATAATTGATTTGATTTGCGTTTTACCATCTAATTGCTAAACAAATCAAATTCGATTTTTAATCTCATAAATAATACTGTCATAATTTAGATTTTCGTGTGATTTGTATGACTATTTTTTAAACCCACACACTGGTTTCAAAATAGTTTAAAAAAGGTTTAAAAATAGTTATACAAATCACACAAAAACCTAAATTATGACAGTATTATTTATGAGATTAAAAGTGTGTGTATTTATTTATTTATTTATTTATTTTTCTTTAGGCAGACGTTTGCAACTGTACATTTGAGGACTTTGAGACTGGTTTGGTTTGTCTGGAAAAAAACATTCTCATCATCAGCTCCTCAGATTATAAGGTGAGAAACTCAGATGGTGTTTTACTTTATATTTCTATACTGACAGGAAAGGACAGTTCCACGTTTATATTCTCAGAGCTCTTTAGAAACACGATAACCCCGAGATCAGAGAACCACAAGGGGGCAGTGTGTCCTCCTGTCTGAACATCAGCCGTATGTGTGCCTCAAACTACACTAAACTACACACTACACTACACTATACTACACTTGACTACACTACACTACACTCTGCTCTTCCACAGATGATTATACTGCTGTTGTGAGATTATTGACTGCTGACCTTTGACCTGTCACTAAACCATCATGCACTCATTCCACTCTCATGCAGTTCAGACTCAGAGTCGCTGTACAAAACCAAAAACACCCGAGTCATCGGATGACAGAGATATACGGACGTCCATTTCTGACACTTTAGGGAAAACATATCATGCTTTAGAAAAATCATATTTATGACATAAAAAGTCAAAATTATGACAGTACCTTTTATGAGATGAAAAGTCTAAATGAAATGATGTATTTATGTAATATTTCTGAGATTCAAAAGTCAAAAGTATGACTTACTGTAAAAGTCAGTCACTAATAATTATATAGTAATATTTGAGATGAATTTTAAATTATAGTTTAAAAAGTCAGAATATGACAAAAAGTTGAAATTTAAGAGTCATAGAAATCATAAAAAGAAAAAATCTTGACAGTAATATTTCTGAGATGAAAAGTCGAAATTATGACATAGTGAGTCAAAATTAACATACTACATCAAAATTATGACATCCTAAATCATAATTATGTGATGAAAAGTCACATTTATGACACACCGAGTCATAATCAAGACACAAGTCATAATGAGATTAAAGATATTATGGATGAAGAAAAGAGGATGAAAATGATGAGGAAAAGGATAAAGATGATGATGATGAGGCAGAGGATTATGATGTGGAAGGTGATGAGAATGATGATGAGGAAGATGATGAAGATGAGGAAGAGGATGATGATGATGAGGAAGATGATGAAGATGATGATGAGGATGAAGATGAGGAAAAGGATGAAGATGATGATGAGGAAGATGATGAGGAAGAGGATGATGATGAAGAAGGTGATGAGAATGATGATGAGGAAGATGATGATGATGAGGAAGAGCAGTTGCTGTTATGAGAGCTGGAGGGAAGGAGGAGTCGTCCGTCAGAGGACACTGTCTCTGTTTGATGGAATGATTTCCTCAGGCCTGTTCCCCTGATACCTGTGTGTGTGTGTGTGTGTGTGTGTGTGTGTGTGTGTGTGTGTGTGTGTGTGTGTGTGTGAGCTCTCGTTTATCATCTCTTTAAGACAGACTGATCTTATAGTTCACTGCATGAAAAGCTGCAGAGTTCTTCATTTAGACAGAAAGAAAGAGTGAAAGACATAAACAACTGAAACAAATTATCAGGAGAACACACACACACACACACACACACACACTATCCGACATTAGCTTTATTAATGTTTTTTGTTTGAATTTGCATATTTATCATCTCATAATTATAGACACCATGTCATAATGACATGTGGATTTATTGTGGTAAAGCGCTTTTAATTTAATAAAATTTAATCTGATTGATAGACACCATGTTATTCGTGTTCTGAAAGTTTAATAAGATAAAAAAGCTTACAGCATTGCAAACTTATTTTATATGCATTTATTACAGGCTATATATATTGTACATGTTATGTGTTTATGTCATGCATCACATTTATTTGGTTTTGCATTTCTTGCATGATTCTTGGAATACATTTTTTTATTTATTTAGAAATGGTGAAAAAAAGACACAAACCAAACAAGCCAGACGAAGAAAATGAAGTCAAACACACTTGAGAATCTTCAACCCACTTTATTGAGTGACACAGCAGGAACTCACAGGGACTTTTATTATGTAAAACTGGAGCTTGAACAGATTCTCGGAGTTTGCAGGAGTGGAAAACCTCTGCGCCCCATTTTCCCATGCCCTATGCCTCTTTAAAGCGGCTTCTCAAAGAGGTATATGCATAGGAAAAAGGAACAGCGAGTGAGTCTGACGGGACGCCGGAGAACCTCGGACAATCGAGACATAGAGAGAGAGAGAGAACAACATTGGTCAAACAGAACTATAATGAGAACAAAAACACATCAGTACACTCTAAAAATGCTGGGTTTTATCCAACCTTTCGGTCAAATATGGACAAATTCAGCCATTGGGTTACATTTTTTAATTAAATTTTTAACCCAATGTTTGGGTTTGTCCCTATTTGACCCAAAGTTGGGTTAAAACAACCCAGCATTTTTAGAGTGTAGGCTACAGATATACAGAATAAGACAGTTTGCAGGGAGCTTTTAAAAAAAAATGTTAAACTGTTTAAAGTTTATTTAACATGAAGCAACCACACTGAAAAAAATAATATGCTTTATCTAATCAATAAAATTGTGGCAACATATTACAAGCAATATTATTAATTAAATTTTACCAATTAGAATGTTAATTTGATTAACTATTACTCAATTCTAATTTGTTCAATTTAATAAATAATATCGCTTGTAATCTATTGCCACAATTTTATTGATTAGATAAAGCATGTTCATTTTTACAGTGCACATTTGAATGAGAATAAAATTGTTTCAATTGTAGAACATTAAGTGCAAAAACATTAAGTACAGAACCTTTATTTTGAAACATGATAGTTAACTTATAAGCAACATAAATTCAATCCAAACTTGTGCCTGTAGTTACGCAGAACTATCCTAAAGTTTTCTGCAACGTTAGACATGAACAAACCGGACCTGTAAAGAAGAGAAAGACTTTAGTTGGAGAGCAGAGGAGTGAGTCTTACCGGATCAGCACCAGCGCGATCTCCTGCTGGGAAACTCTTCCTCGGGGAATTTATTCCTCAGCCGAGACCTTGAAGATGTGTGTGAGGAAGACACAGTAACGGTTTCCCGCTCTCCTCCTCCTCCTCCTCCTGTAATCTTGAGTCCTGGACAGAGTTCAGCATGAGAACCTCTCGCTGGTGCGGGCATTGGCTGGCACAGGTGCCCATCACGCACTGCTGTGGGCAGATGTTCATTATCTTAGGCTCACGTCAGGACAGCAGAGTTTGGGACACGGCGTTCTCTAACACACACACACACACACACTGATGACTGTAATGTTTCTTATCTATCAGGGTCTCCCACTATCCCAGCGGATGAGCCAGTCTCCATTGATTCAACAGACTCAAGGACCCGGGCAAGGCCTCTCACACACACACACGTCTGGTTTGCTATCTTTGTGAGGACTCTACATAATGGTTTAATACTGTACAAACTGTATATTCTGTCTCCTTACACTAACCCATACCTCTAAACCTACCCATCACACACACACTCACACACACACACACAAATCCGACCCCTAGACCTACCCATCACACACACACTGACCCGAGTCATAGACCTACCCATCACACACCGAGTCC